AAAGGGCAGAGGAGGCTTGACCACTGTGTCCGTTCTCTCCCTAGGTAATCTTCAAGGGTGAACAAAGGCGTGGTCACACTGGGGAGATTGGATTGGATGATGTGAGCTTGAGAAAAGGCCCCTGCTCTGAAGAACGCGAGCAACTCCACAACTAGCAATGACCTCCCATGTTGCTCCCTCTTCTTTTTCTAATCTTCACCTCCTGTCTTCTCCCTTTCAGGCCTAGGAGAAGAGTGGGTCAGTGGGTCAGGAGGAAGTCGGGTTGTTGATCCTCATCTTGCTGGCCTGCTTTTGTGCAATCCCAATGGACAGTGATATTCTCCTTGAAATAGAAGGGACATCTGTAGACATGTGCAAGCCACCTTTGGGTGTTACCTTCCATGCTATGTCCTTTTAGGAAGACCTTCAGCGTGTGTGACCTATGCCATCCTTCATCCTGGTTATAAGGTGTTCCTTATAGCAAATTATGGGAGACGTTTTCAAAAGACATCCATGCAAATGGCCATTCTGTTATCTGTTCAGTGTTGTACCACGAGTAGTATTGACTTTCCCTGAGATACGTTGTACAATGTGCTTGTGAAATTGGTTTCTCCTCTTCACTGTTAGTTCTGGACTGACCTGAATTCTTTTACTGCCATTCACTTTATAAAAGAAGGGTGTGTAACATATCAAGATGCATTTATTCTTGTTATCTGTATTTTTCTTTTAAAGACAATTATGTAGAGTGGGCACGTAATTCCTCGTTAGTACTATTGTGTTTTGTGTAAATGTGCTATTGATATTAAGTAGTTACGTGTTCCTAATATTTACAGACTCTAGTTGCAAGGGAAAAGGCAGCTTGTGATCTCTTGACTAAAAAATACACAGTGAAATGTTATCCAGTCTCCTGACCTTATATTTGTAAGAAGAGAAATTTGGAAAACGTGTCAGGTTGTGGTAGGGGAGGGATTAATTTTTTTAATGATCTTGAGTTTGATCCCTATAAATAATAGTAAACCATCCAGGTAGACAAGAAACTGCAGTTAACATATAAAACCCTCACTCTTTCTGGTTACACTTTAAAACCAACAGCTTTCTCCAAAACAACATGGTCTCCCTGGAAATCTGTAAGAAGCTTTCTAAAAGGTCTGGCTGTTTAAAAGGAAAGATTCTGTTCATGGAAGCAAGGTGACGAGAAGCATGGGAGGAGCTACATTGGAATAGATTTTCATACTAAGTTTTCAGTCAGTATAAATTTAGGCAGGTCTAGCTCATAACTTACATGCTATCATGTCAGGATGGGATAGGAAGCAAGTCCCATGCTTTGAAGCATTGAACGTGTTGGAAGAGGATTCACACACACACTAGAGCAACAGGACAAGACTGGAATTCTAAGATCTAGGAACCCTCAACTAATACATTTTCTCCCTGTATATTTTAACTTTATATATAAAAAAAATACATAACTTTTAAAAGGCAACTTACTACTGAGGCTTTTCCTCATTGCTGATTAAGTAATCAAAATATTTTCTGCTGTTTTTGCCAGGAATCACAAAGATGATTAAAGGGTAGGAAAAAAAAAAGATCTATGATGACAAATTAAAGGAACTGGGATTATTCAGCCTGGAGAAGAGAAAACTGAGGGGTAAACCATTGCTGGTTTTCAAGTATATGAAGCGTTGGTACAGAGAGGATGGTGACCAGCTGTTCTCCGCATGCACTAAGAATAGAATTAGAGGAAACAGGCTTAGCCTGGAGTATGAGGGAACATTTCCTGGCAGGGACAGTTGTTAAATTAAAATCCCTTATAAAGAAGTGTGACTTTCTCTGTCTATTTTTTTCTTTCTTTTTAATTTTTTTTGTTGAGGCTTTTTAAAAATTAGATAAAAAATTGTCTATTTAAGATAGTTAAAAGATGTCCTTACCTCAAGGTAGAGTGACAGATTACAGAATCTCCCAAAAGATGTTTTGATCCTACTACTGTGTAATGAAAATCTCCAGAACTAAGTTATTTGGACCAGGCCAGGGCCTAATTTAGGCATTTCCCTCTTCAGCTCCTAGTGGAGAGGAATCAAAAGGGGAAAAGTCCACCAATGCTAGGCTCACTAAAAATGTCTCTCCCTTTATGGCAAACCTAGCAGTATTAAAACAAAAACAAAAAGGAAAAAAAATACATATATATATATATATATTTATTCCTAAAAGAGTATGATGAACAGATGTTTTAGTATCTCAGTGTCCTAATGTGGTGGGGTTTTTTTCTTGATAAAAGTATAACCTTTTCACTTGCTCAGTGGATGATATTTCAGATTTTTAAAGAGACCATAGCAAAGAATACAGTTTACAGAGATTTTTATCTGGTGCATTCTCTCTGCAATGTGCATAACAACTTAACTCAGCTACTGATAATGAACGCCATGCCCAACACAACTGCCAGGCCCGTTCCTTCACCTCATTGCTATAATTCAGTTTCACCATCAGTTGGATGTCCCAACTTCCACAAAATGGTAATGTTTTTTGAACAACACATAAATAGTGTATGTTTTGTTATGTTACTTGGTGAAGGCAGGGCAAGAGGGGGAGTATTAATCAGTGCGCCTTTGAGTAGGGGCCAGAAAATATGGTCTTAGAGCCCTTTGTAATAATTCATTTCCTTTTTGGTCATATAAACTGCACAATTGAAGAGAAAAGGGGAAAGTGATAGAAAATTTCACTTTTAGGTGCCAATAATACATTGCACTAAACTGATGGAAGAAGTTATCCAAAGTACTGTATAACATCTTGTTTATTATTTAATGTTTTCTAAAGTGAAAAATGTTAGTGGTTTTCCAAACAGCAAAACGAAAATAATTCTTTGTAAATAAAAACACTGTTAATAATACCAGTTGTCTGTTTCTTGTTGTTTTGAGGGGTTTGGGGTTTGTTTTTTTTTGTTTTTTTGTTTTGTTTTTTTTTACTGCTTGGATGACTGGGGACAAAGATATTGCCCAAATTATTATGCTTTCTAGGTTAGAAAATATGAGATACTTTTCATCACAATGCACAGATGCACATCTTAGCAAATTGCTTTAGTTTTCTTACATCTCACTTAGTTGTAAACGTTTGCCTCAAATCCTTTTATGAAAAGACAGGAAAAGTTATAAGTAAATATATATGAATTATAAATGAAAAATATTTTTATTAGTGTTGATTTCATTAATTTATGACATTTTTACACATATTCCAATAACCTTTCCTAATGGAGAAAACAACTATAAAGAAACAAAATTATTGAAATGCAAGATTAAAAGTTAGTCTTTTTAGAAAATTATAGAGCATACACTTAATGGCTTCTTTCTTTCCAATACTCAGAGAACTCTTAGCAGTTGGGACACTCAGGTTTTGGATAAATACACACTTTAATCAAAAGGTAAAGAAAATCATCCCTGGGAGACCTGAGAAAGCTCAGGCTTTTTGAGTATGTTAAGAAATTAACCTTTTGAAACCTATTTCAGATTGGGGGTTGGAGGAAGCAGTTAATTATGAGATTTCAGGGTCCAGTACATTGATTGATTGGACAGATTTTAGAGTACTCACTATATGTGTGGCTTTGGGATATAACAGAAAGCAGACTTTCCCTTGTTGGGTTTCAATCTAGAGAAGAAGATAGGTATTTACTAAAGTAATATAAATAAATCCAAAATTGCTATTCTGAAAAGTGGTATGGGGTACTTTGAAGGCTCAGAAAGCATGGTGGATTCCAAGCACTGTGCCCACTGCTTTTCAAACTTTAATGTGCATGGGGATCACCTGGAGATCTTGTTAAAATGAGGTTTCTGATTTGGTGGATCTGGACTGGGCTTGGATCCTATTGTACATTTCTAACCAGCTCTCAGGTGATGCCCATGCTGCTGGTCCTGGGTCCCGATTTGAGTAACAAAGTCTAATAGTATATTGAGGGGTCTGGGCCTTTATCTCGGTTAATTTTCACTGTGGGAAGGCCTAAAATACTAGCATTGCAAGTTCTACTTCACAAGAATTTACTAAGTTCTGGTGCACTTTTTTCAAAAAACTGTAGGGTCTCAACAAATAAAGAATATCAATAAATAGACAAATGTTATTTTTAAAAGAACAAATTCTGGATATATTGGGTTGTCGGAAAAGTCATGACCTTTTTTTTTTCTATGTTTTTCATTGCAAAAATGCATCATGACTTTTCTGACAACCCAATAGTAAGTACCATCACCAAAATGAAAAATTCACTAAGTTATTCAACAGCAGATTTGAGTTAGCAGGAGGAAGAATATGTCAACTTGAAGATATGTCAGTTGACATTATCTAGTTTGAGGAACAGCGAGACAAAGCTTCAATAAGGATGAAACAATGATCAACAAGGAAATACAAGACGTGAAAAATTCTATAAACCAAGCAGACTTAACATGCATTTATAGAACATTCAACAACACAAGAATACATATTTTTTCAAGTGTGTAGGTGTTTACAGACCATAAATTTGGCCACAAAGCAGGTCACAATAAATTTAAAAGAACTGAAATTATTCAAAATATATTCTTATACCACAATGAAATGAAATTAGAAATCAATTACAGGAAAATTGGGGAAATTCACAAATATGTGGAAATTAAACAATATGCTCATAAATAACTAATGGCTGAAAGAAGAAATCAAAGGAAAATTAAGAAATATTTTGAGATTAATAAAAATGAAAATAAAACATGCCAAAACACATGGAATACAATTAAAGCATCGCTTATAGGGAAATTTATATTTGTAAATGACTATATTAAAAAAGAAAAAAATCTCAAATCTAGTAATGAAGTAATCTAACCTTCAACAATATTAGAAAAAGAAAAAATTAAATCAAAGTAAGCAGAAGAAAGGAATTAAAGATCAGAGCAGAAAAAAAATGAACAGGAATTGGCTGAGTGGCTCAGTTGGTTGAGTTAGCTAAAGAGTGTGAGCTCTGAACAACAGGGCTGCTGGTTCAATTCCCACATGGGCCAGTGACGCTGCGCCTGAGCTGAGCTGCCACTAAGCTGCCAACAGGTGGCAGGATGGCTCAGCTGGTGAGAGCACTTGCTCCTAACAACAAGACTGCCTGTTCAATGGTGGGCTATGCCAACCCACAACTAAGACTGAACTCAGCACTTTGAGCTGAGCTGCTACCTGGATGGCTCAGTGGATAGAGCATGTGCTCTTAACAATAAGACTGCTAGTTCGATTCCCGCATGGGATGGTGGCTATACCCACCCGCAACTAAGACTGAACTTGGCACCTTGAACTTGGAGGTCACAAGCTGCTGACGGGCAGCCAGATGGCGACTGGCACCCTCCACAACTAAGACTGAAGAACAACAACTTGGCTGGTCCCCCTTCCCAATTCCCCAACACTGTTCCCCTTCCCCAACACCCCAATTTTAAAAAAAAGAAAAAAAATGAACAAAAAATATAGAAAAGAAATAAAACTAAAATTTGGCTTTTGGAAAACATGAACAAAATAAAAAAAGAAAGACTTATGAAAATCAGAACTGTAAGAGGGACATCATCACTGACCTTACAGAAACACAAAGGATTATTAGGGAATAGTATGAACAGCTTTAGGCCAACAAATAACCTAGATGACCTAGACAGAGTCTTAGGAAGACAAATACTATAGAAACTATTGGGTCATTGGGAAAGTCATGACACATTTTTGCATTGAAAAAACATAAAAAATATGTCATGACTTTCCCGACGACCCAATAAATCGAGAACTAGAACCCTGGATTAGACCAATCACAAGTATATAGATTGAATAATAAAAAACTTTCCACAACAGAAAGCCAATGCTCAGATAGCTTTAATGGTGAAGTCTACCAAATGTTTAAGAAGAATTAACATTAATTCTTCATAAACTATTTAATAATATGGAGGAAACACTCCTCAACTCATTCTATGAGCCCAGTAAGCAGAATAGTGTGTCGATTACTGCTGTTCTAACAATACTAAGTCTTACCTTTCATGAACATGGGTTACATACAGCAAAGGCAGTGCTCAGAGGGACTTATAGCAGTAAACATCAGAAAATATTTTTTAAAAAGATCTCAAATCAACACACCAAATTTATATTAAGGAAATAGAAAAACAAGTGCAAAGTAAACCCAAAGTTAACAAAAGGAAGAAAACAAGATATGATTGAAGATAAATAAAAACAATGGAGAATCAACAAAACAAAACAAAAAATGGTCTTTGAAAAGATCAATGACATTTAAAACCTTTAGCTAGACTAACCAAGAGAGAGAAGATACAAATAGAAATGAAAGAAATGAAACATCAGAAATGAAAGTGGGGACATTATTATCAATTTACAGAGATAAAAAAGTTTATAAGAGACTACAATGAACACATATATGCCAGCAAATTAGATAACCTAGATGAAATGGACAAATTCCTATAAAAAAATTACCAAAATAAATCAAGAAGAAATAGAAAATCTTAACAGACCTATGACAAGTAAAGAGATGGGACAGTAATCAAAACTTCTCAACAAAGGAAAATCCAGGACCAGATGTCTTCACTGGTGAAGGCTACCCAAATTTAAAGAATTAACATCAATCCTTCTCAAACTCTTCCAAGAAATAGAATATGAGGGACTACTTCCTCACTCATTCTATGTGGCCAGAAATACTCTGATATCAAAGCTAGATAAAGACATCACAGAAAATACCAACCAATATCCCTTATATAGGTGCAAAAGTCTTCAACAAAACACTAGTAAATATCCAATAGAAAATTAAAACAATTATACATCATGACTAAGTTAAATTTGTGCTTGGAATGCAAAAGTGGTTAAAAGTGAGAATATCAACCATTCAACATTTACTGTATGATCTAGCCAAAGCAATTAGGCAAGATGGGGAAATAAAACGTATTGGTAAGGAAGAAGCAAAACTATCTCTGTTTTCAGATGATACGATCCTACATATAGAAATATCAATGAATCCACAGAAAAGCTACTAGAACTAGTAAATAAATTGAACAGAGTTGCAGGCTACAAGATTAACATTAAAAATTCAAGTTGATTTTGTCAGAGAAATGCAAATCAAACCCACAATGAGATATCACCTCACACCTGTTAGAAAGGCTATGATCAAAAAGACAAGAAGTAGCAACTGTTGTCTAGGATGTGGAGAAAATGGAACCCTTGTGCACTGGTGGCAATGTAAATTGGTGCAGCCACAATGGAAAACAGTATGGAGGGGCCTTTTGTATACTTATGTACAAATTTCATAGTAGCACTCTTCACAATAGGCAAAGGGTGAAAATAACCACAATGGCCATCAACAGATAAATAGATAAGCAAATTATGTTGCATCCATACATGCACTATTACTTAGCCATAAAATAGAATGACCTACTGTTACATGCTACAATGTGGATGAACCTCAAAAACATTATGTTAAGTGAAAGGAGTTAAGACACAAAAGATCACATAGTCTATTATTCCATTTATATGAAATATCCAAAAATAGGTAAATAAGTGGAAACAGAAAGTAGATTGGTTGCCAGAGAGAGAATGGAGAATAACTGCTTTATAGGGAAGGAGTTTATTTTGGTTAATTAAAATGTTTTGGAACTAGATAGAGATAGTGATTGCTCAACATTTTTTATTTTTTTACATACCATTTTGAGTGTAATAAATGCCACTGAATTGTTCACTTCAAAATGGGTAATTTTGTCAGGTGCCTTTCATCTTAATAAAATGCTTTTAAATTTTTCAAATAATGTTGTAGAAAAAAGAGGAGAAAGAGAACAATAAACAGATGAGACAAATAGAAAACAAAGAGCAAGCTGGCCGATATAAACCAAATGCCAACAACGATATTATTATTTAAAAATAATT